TTTTTCTTAACAGTTCTTTATAGTATTTTTCAAAGTGTGTTACCTCTATTAATGTTATCTTATTTTAATGTTGAACTTATACGAAGTATTAATGCAAGTTCAAATTTTCTTAAACGTTTTACATCACTCTATGTTCAAACAAGACGTGTAGGACGCGAAGCAAATCCATCTCGATATCGTGAAGGTACAATAACACGTTCTGTTATATGTTTAATTGGATTATTTACATTATGTCAAGTACCTGCATCGATTCTTCATTATATTTATATGTTTTATCGACATCATCCTGTACTTTATATTTGTTATGATATATCAAATTTTTTAATTCTTGTTAATAGTGCAGTAAGAAAAAAATAATTTTTTAAATTTAAAAATTTAATTTTAATTTTTTTTCAGGTGAATTTTTTTATTTTTACTTATTGTAATAGAAAATTTCGTCGTGAATTAGCTCGTGTTTGTTTTCATTCAACAAATCATCGAAGTTTTATGTTACGTACATCAAGTCATCATTCATTTCGACGAACAAATTCATATATGAGAACACCGGCACAGAGTTCACACAATTTACAACAACTTGATGTATGTATTTTTTTTAGTTTTGAACTCATTGTAAAAGTTTCTTTTTCGGCTAATTATCAAAAGAGAAAAATTCAAGAAAAAAGGAAGGAAGGAAATCATCAGAATAATAGATGAAAAAAATGACTTTTCTCACGCATCTTTATCTTTATATTTAAAAGATTACACAAACAAATTCATGGGAATATCAACGACGAAATAGTCGTAGTCAACTACAAACAGATACGGGAACAAGTAGTGAAAGTATAAATCATTTACGAAAAAAATATTCCGATGTATCCGTACAATCACAATATCATCTTCATCCATCATATCATCGTTCAGAATCATTAATTAACATCCGTACATCAAATATTCCTAATAATAATAGTAATCAAACACAACGTCAGGGAAGATTTTCTGTATGTGATTTTAACTATCAACAATCGAATACTTTTCCGTATATAAACGATCAACAAAACCTTCAAATAACATCTAAACAATCTCGCGGTTATAAGCAACGTTTATTATTTAATCGTAAAAAACATTCGTTAACAATTCCGACAAATACGTTCAATCAACATGTACAACCTTCACATTGTAAGGTAAATAAACGCGGTAAAAAGAAACAAAAATCTATGTTTACATATAATCCAATAACATCTTCATCATCAGCAACAACCACAACTACAACATCAAATTTAACACGTTCAACAGCAAATACAATTGGTTCGGAAAGTTCAATAATAATTGATCAAAATAAATTATTAAAACCAATAGCAAATCAAAAAGAAAAATCGAAACGTTTTTTTCAAAAATAATTTATTTTGTTTATAATAAAAAAAAAATCTACTCAAATTATGACTATTTTCGATATTCTATTAGAAGCTGCACGATGTAATAAGATTTTCTTATCAAAGAAAGATGATTTATGATAATATCGACTATAGCCTATAAAGAATGAAGATTGGATTTTTATTTAGAATAATAAGAATTTTCTTATACTTTAAATTATAGTTTTACAATACGATTAATAGCTTCTTAAAAAAACAATCTAGCGTAAGTACGCTCATCTTCTACTTCAAGTTCATTTTTCTATCATTAAATATTTATATTTATTATGAGAGAAATGTCGAACTTTTCTATGAAAAATATTCCTATTTTCCTTCTAAGTGTTAACTACGAATGCAGATTAGTGCATATCTAGAAGCTCTAGATGACAGATCCAATCTTCATGTTGCACATTATCTATTTTCATTCAACTAAAAATAACTTTCACGGCATTTCTGTATAATTACAATGTACATTATAACCGGATTAAAAATGAAATCAAACAAAGAAAATTTTAATAATATGAATTTTATTCAAAAAAAAAAGAAATATTAACATGTCTTTGTAGCACTAGTTTCAGTTCCACTAATATCAGCTATTAGTGATTGAAGTAATGTTAATACAGTTACAAATACTCCAATAGCAACATAAAAAATTGCAATTGAAATCGATATAATATTTCCCCAAGAGTTAACCCATGATTGTTCAACATGAAAATATAAACAAAGACCTAAATGATAACAAAAAAAATCGAATCAAATTATATTTTTATATATTTTCATACCTGGAAAGGTAAAGATAAAGCTAGCAGCTAATGCACCTAAATAATGTATTGCTACTGAGATATTAGGTAAAAAAACCGCTCCAGCTAATGTTGAAAAAAACCAAAGGCAAACAATTAAAATTCGACGTTTTGATGATTGTCTTGCATCTGTAGCTATTGATGATGTTGTTGTTTCATTTGATAATGAATCAATTGCTGTCCTAATTTCATCAACAATAAAAAATAATTAATACATTTTATATCATAATTATTTTACCTTCCACAAAATAAGTTAACAGGATAAGCTGTATAAGTTTTAATTGCTACCATAATTATTGCAATAAGTACAATTGCTGATATAGGATGATAAGACATAAGTATATCATGATCAACTTTAATACCAAATGTAAGATAACCACAAACAGCTACTAAAGAGTAACTAAGGATAAGAACCAATGTTGATGCTAATGTTGCTTTTATACAATCAGCGCGTGATTTTAATGAAACAAAAACAGGAACAGCATTAACATGTGCCTTGAAATGAAGAATAGTTCAAAATTTCGAAAATAAAAAAAGTAAATAACAAACTTGATAAGAAAAACACATTGTTGGCAAAACAAGAAAAATATCTGTCCATGAATCTGGACTAAAATTATTAAAATAAAACTAACTGTTGAAAATAAATTATACTTTACTGTGTTTTAACAATAACATCGTTTGATTTTGTTTTAAAATATTCAATAGGTACAATAATAACAACATAAATAATTGCCAATACACCCAACATACTAAAATAAAATTATTTTTTTTGATCCTATGTAATTTTGTTTTGTATTTACCTTGGTATTTGAAGAAATTTAATTGTTTTTGAGAAACATAATGGAAATATAAATAATAATGATGTAAAAGGTATTGTTAGTCGACGATCCAAATACCAATGGCGACAAAAAAGTGGATCAATAAATGAAAAAACTAAAATAAAATAAGATTATTTCTGAAAATTATTTCTCTTACTTACATACATCGATCTAATTGATCTCCGATGATAATAAAAAATGTTATACTCAAGCCATACCTAAATAGTTATCTTTATAAAAAAACATATCTTTATTAAAACTAAAATATTTTATTTACATATATAATATAATACAAACAGAACAAATTCTTTGCCAAACTTTTCCGCATTTCATAAGAACAAATGTTTCATAAGATGATGTAGATTGATCACAACATACAAATAAAATTACATAAGCACCAAGTACTAATAGAACAACAATCTAATAATAGAATATATACGTAAAAGAAATTATTATCAAAAAACTTACTCCATGAAGAATTGAACTTATAAAAATACCGCCAGCATCATCATAAGCTTTGGCGATGTTAAGTAAACCAGCCTAATAAATATGTTCACATTAGAATGATTACAAATGCTCTGAGCTATTATTAGTTGGTTAATAACACTCTCATACGATTTTGAATCATGTCAAAACCAGTTAAGGTGATTCAGGTGACTAAAGTAACTTTTACCTTTAGCATTTTAATTTCATAAGTATACAATAACAAAAAAACAGTAATATTAGTCATGGACGAAGGGTTAAAAAGTAGCAAACTATTTCATAAAATAACTTACACCCATTGCTGCATTAACGATAAGACCTGCAGCCATAATCCATGACATAGATGCTAGAATACAATAAATATCAATCAGTAATGATTCTATTATATTTAATACATACATTTTGCTTTAATAGATACTTGTGTTCCATTATCCGAATTGAGCAGAGCTAAATTTTCATCATCAACTATTGCTGATGTGTCAGATTGAACATTCATTTTATTTTTCAATTAAATATAGTTTCAGAACGATAAACATATATATATATATATATATCTAAAAATAACAAGGACAAATGTTATTTATATATTATTGTTTATTATATAATCGATATTTAATATTAGTATGTTGATAGATTCGTCTGGCAAAATATATGATTTCATAAACTAAATTATATAGTTATGTTACTGTTATGCTGTAAATATCAGAAAAATCTATATTTTTTGTTTACATAACAAAAGAATATGTTAAAAATTAATAATTTATTTTATAAGTAATGTTCTAGAAATAAACATTTCTAATACTAATTCAACTTTTACATGCATGATGTATCATTTCATTATATTTTCAGTTAACTAATTCTCTATGAAAAATTAATCAAATATAGAAGTATTTATGTCATGTGTCACTTCCTTTTTTTTCTAAGCTTATAAGATTAGAATTTGATTCATTAAATAAATATCTACTTATCGACAAAGTCTTGGATATATTAAATAATAGATCTATGTTAATGAACAATGGTGATAAACGCGACCAAGATCTAATATGAGATTTCTCCATAGAATTCAATGTTAAAGTGACATAAGATTTCTATCTAGTTCAATATGAAGCCCTACAAACTATTGGAAAGTTCGCTTATGTTTTTAATAGAAATTCTAATTTGCATCGTTAAATAATATAACAAAAAAATAATCGGTTTACAACTCACATTATCAACGTCGTCTATTTGAGAAAATTTTTATTATATCGGACGTTGAATAATAATCTATAAAAATTAGTATTATTTCGATTTACGTAGATCATCGAATTCTGTTTTTATTTATTATACGCAATTGTTTACGTAATTTATTTGAAAAACTGAAAATAAAAATTATATAAATTGCAGGTAGCGATAAAAAAAAGTTTGTAATGTTTTCTGATTTGTCAAACGTAATTCCAATAGGAATACGAAACGACAAAATCCATCTTTAAGAGGAGATAGAATGTTGTAGTATGACTGAATATCTGTCAATATATACTATTATTAAATAACAATGCATATAAAATAATATTTGCAAAGGTGAGAAGAACACTGTTTTTTATAGGATGGATAATTTATATTTGAGAAAATTTTTTATTAAATAATTAATACTGAAATATAAATGATTTTTAAATGTCTGTTTATTTAGAGAAGAAATTCAGATTTTGGACACATCAGTGAGACATTTGAGGTGAAATCGAGGTTCTTTTTTTTATCTGCAAGATTAAAATTAATCTTCTTATCTTATGACATAGTCTTTACTTGTCAAATACAAACTATTTCAGATTAATTTAGTAATATCTTTGCTTTCTTTTTAAAACAAATGTTTGATTTTATCATGTTTTACACAAAAGAGAGAGAAAATATTTATCTTTGTTGGTTAAATTCCAATAAATGATTTCAATGTCATTCAACCTTTTGAATAAATAATCTATAAATAAAAACTTATTCGAAGATACTGATCGAAAATTAAAATGAAATACTATCTTCATTTTATCATAGATAACATAAGACAAAGAATAACGACATAAAAAAAAACAAGTAACCTTCGTTTACTAGTTTATCTCATAAAGTAAAAAG